GTGGCCACCAGCCCCGCGGGGGAGGCCGTGCTGCAATACGCCGTGGACGTGCAGGGTGAGCCGGACCTGTCCCGCCCGAGCCACCGGGCTGTGGGCCCCTCCTCCCACACCTACCACCTGCAGTGCCCGCAGCCCCTCCGGGGAGCTGCCTCTGGTCAGTGGGCGTTTACCTAGAAACCCCTGAGGCCCGAAGCGGGGTTGTGGGCAGTGGTCCTGGGGACAGGCGGGGAGGGGCCTTCCCCTGGACAGACATCTCTCGGGGGCTGATTCGGGGCTGGCCCGTGGGGCTGGAGATGAGGAGGGAGCAAGGCAGGCGGGACTCCTGAGCCCTGGGTCTGATGGTGAGACAGACGTTGAATAAACAGGACAAGCCTCAGGGGTGGCCCTGGAAGGCCCCCTGCAGGAGGGGTCCTTTATGGGGGAACGTGAATGGTGGGGTGTGGCTTGGGCCTTGTTCTGGGGCCACAGGGGACCTAGGAGGGCTTTAGGTGGGGATTTACTCAGCGCTAACCACCCACTGGGGGGTCCTGCCTGCAGTGCCCCCACAGCTGCTGGTGGCTGAAGGTTTGGGCCAGGTGACCACCCTCGTGGGACAGCCCCTGGAGATCCCCTGCCAGGCCTCAGGCTCCCCGGTGCCCACTATCCAGTGCGTATGTGGGGAGCGGGGAGGGTGAAGGCCAGGGCTGCGGCTGGGGCGTGGGCAGAGAGCGCCTGCTTTGGAGGTGGGTGGGGTCAAGAGGCACCCCCTTCCCAGAGGCAAGAAAAAGGCCAGAGACGTGCGAGCAGGCGGAGATGCTGCCGGCCTCCTGCATGTCCTGCTGGCCCTGCCTCCCCGGGCCTCAGGCTGACCGTCCCCCTTCCCACCCACCTTAGATGGCTGCAGAACGGCCGCCCGGCCGAGGAGCTGGTGGGGGTGCAGGTGGCCTCTCAGGGGACCACCCTGCACATCGACCACGTGGAGCCGGGCCACGCGGGCCTCTTCTCCTGCCAGGCCACCAACGAGGCAGGCACCGCAGGGGCCGAGGTGGAGCTGTCTGTGCACGGTGAGCGGCCATGGGCAGCCCGAGGCCGGGGGAGGGGAGCCTGGACCAAGGCCATCCGTGCCTCTGGCCAGTCTGGGGGGCCTGGGGGGGACAGGGGGTGGTCTTCTCTAGATAGTACAGCTGGGCTGTACTTCCCAGCTCCCCAAAGAAAAGAGGCATGAGAGGCTGGTCTGAGCTGTCCACCCCACTTGTCATCTGTCCAGTCCTCAGGCCCTCGCTTTTCTCCCCAGTCTTCCCTCTCTGTCCACTGACCACCACGAACTTCATTCAACTCTCTCGCCTGTGTGCCTGCAAATGCTGTTTCTGTTCCCGGAACATTCTCCTTCTTTGCCTCCTAGCACCTCTTTATTTTTCAGGTCTGTCCTAAAACACCCCTTCCTCCCAGAAGCCCTCCTTGATTTCACTGTGGTGCTTATCCACACTACCCACCCTCTCTTGGCTATCGCTCGCCACCCACTGTATTGGGAGTGCTTGTTTGGTTGTCCATCTCTCAGCCCAGCTCTGGGAGCTCTGAGAGGACAACACAGTGGCCACCATTCCTTGCTGTGTCCCTGTACCTAGTTCACTTCGGGGCTCAGAGTAGATGCTCAATGATGAATGGATAGATGGATGGGCGGGTGGATAGGTGGGTAGGTGGGTGGGTGGGT